GTAATGGATGATAAAGTTTATATTTTTCACAATGCAATTAAAAAGTTTACTAAAGCCGAGGTTTTCTAACAGATATTTTTTTTTATCACTAAATATTTTGAAAATAATTTATTTATTTACTTGATAGATCTTATGTGGCACAAATAGCCTAGTTTTATTGATTCTATGTATCATTGACACATATTGTTAATTTTATTGGTTATGTGATTTTGGAAAGAAATATATGCAATCTTTATTATCTTTCAACACTTGTGATTTAATATCTTCTACAATTAAATGTTGAGATTACGTCCATTTGTCTTCGTCTTAATTGTTCTGTATTTAAATTAAGACTTCATATTCAACTAATCATCTTNAACACAAAAACCAGGAGACTACTATAGAAGAAAACAAAAATGGATGAAGAAGAAGGAACAATTTCCTCAGATTCAACGACGAAGCAAAGGAAACCTCTTGGTTGGAAAGCTATGCCTTACCTATTAGGTACGTTACATATAATCATATTTGTTTTTTTTTCAAATATTGTTATGTTTCTTAAGTTTAAGATCCGGGTTATAATATTGATGTGCATGCAGCAAATGAGACATTGGAGAGGCTTGCGACATTCGGATTAATGTCGAATTTTATGGTGTATATGGTTAGAGAATATCATATGGATCAAGTCCAAGCTGCGACTCTAATCAACACTTGGTCTGCTCTCACCAACTTTGCTCCCATCATTGGAGCTCTCATCTCCGACTCATACACCGGAAAATTCAATACCATTGTCTTTGGTTCCATCGCCGAGTTGCTGGTAAATCTTTTTCCTTATCCAGTATAGAATTGAGGTTAATATCTAGAACTTGATGAGATATGTTACCAATTATTCTTTGGTAGAATTAAAAAAATACCACTTTTTGTGTGCACATTTGCAAGAATGCCATTTAGGGGTGTCTATTTACAAAAATTCCACTAATTATAGATTTATAAAACATATATCTTAAAATTCTAAACCCTAAAAAATGTTTTGACACCTAAAACCCCCTAAGCACTCAAAACTAAACCCTAATAGAACATAATTAACACAAACATAAATAATATAAAATTTTTTTTTTTTGAAAAAATGACATTTTTGTAAAGTCGTACTTAAAAAGTGACATTTTTTGAAAATTTTCTTATTTTCTTTTGCGTTTACGATTTTACGTTTTCTATTAGCATGTATTTTTGATGAAATCATTCCTCCTTTTTAGCATTTTAAACAAAATTCTTTTTGTTAGTTTTAATAGCAAATGCCAAATGTAAACAAAAGAAGCTTTCCGTTTGCATGTAACATTTCCGTTTACACTTTAAGTAAAAGTAGTATTTTATATAAACACAATTGTTAATCTCTTATAATCTAATAGTTTATTTAAACCTTTTTAAATGCAAAGTCAGGCAGAGACAAACCTAGAATTGATGTTGGAAACAATCTGACACCTTATAATTGTTTGCAAGTCTTGATGTAATTTTTGCAAGTCTTAATGTTGGAACATTGTAACGTGACATAAGTTTAAACTTCAACAGGGCATGTTGGTGTTGACTTTCACTTCTCTGATCCCGAATCTACGACCACCACCTTGCATTTCCGACCAAATCACCGGAAAATGTATCCGCTATAGCGATTCGCAGTTATACTTTTTACTCTCAGGTCTTTTCTTGTTATCGGTCGGAACAGGAGGAATCCGTTCATGCAGTGTTCCTTTTAGTCTCGATCAGTTCGATGATTCGACTGAGGAAGGAAGAGAAGGAAGTAGAAGCTTCTTCAGTTGGTACTATACCACTCATACAATAGTCCAGTTAGTATCAATGACTCTAGTGTTGTACGTACAGAACAACATCAGTTGGGCCATTGGATTCGCAATACCGACGTTTCTCAATTTGGTTGCGCTTGTTTTGCTATTTATGGGAACTCGGTTTTATGTCTTTGTCAAACCTGAAGTAAGTGTGTTCTCTGGGATCTTCATGGTTCTCGTGGCTGCTTATAAGAAACGGAATTTACGGTCTCCTTCTGAGATTGACAATTATCGACCGTTACTAGAGACAAATTCACAATTACATAAACTCGGACCCACTGATCAATTCAGGTAAAACTTTATTACTTTCTGTTTGATACTCTCTCTCTCTCTTTCAAACTAAGTTTTGTTTTAACATGTTTCTCTGATTCAAAATAAGTGATAGTTTTAATTTTGGCATAAACCATATAATTTAGCTATTTAGCTTCAAGTAAAGACTAAGGAAACAAATATATAGAACAAAATATAATACCAAAAGTTGGCTTGTTTTTGGAGAAGTTAAATATAATTTTTGACCTACTTTTTTAGTTAGAGTAAAAGTGTTAAAACTATATTTATCTGAAACAGAAAAATAGAAAAAAAACAAAAATATCGTTTTATATTTTTAATTCAGAATTTGATAAACTCTTAAACTTAATCCACATTTATTTACATTACTAATTCGAGAGATAAAATTGGCAAACATTAGTTTAAAGGTAATATAAGGTATTTTATTAAAGAAAAAAAGAGGTATTTTACCGTAAAAATTATCTGAAAAGATGCAGAGATAGTAATACATTTACGTATCTATATATATAATATATGCAAATAAATGTGGTTAAGTTTATCAGAAAAAAAAATGTGGTTACAAAAATTTTGAGTTTTTTTGTTTTTATTTGCTTTGGTTCTAGATTCTTGAACAAAGCCGCGATAGTGATGAGCAACGATGAAGCTGAAAATAAGGAGTGGAGAATCTGCACCGTCAAACAGATCGAGGACATAAAGTCTATATTAAGCATTATACCAATATTTGCTTCGAGTATTATAGGATTCTTAGCTATGAACCAACAACAAACTTTTACGGTCTCACAAGCACTAAAAACGGACCTCCGATTTCCCGGTACTTCTTACCTAATCCCTCCTGCTTCTATAACCGTCATATCACTACTCACCATAGGGATATGGCTTCCCTTCTATGAAACCGTTTTGGTCCGACACATTGAAAATATTACAAAACAAGAAGGTGGCATCTCGTTACTCCAAAAAGTTGGGATTGGGAATTTTTTCTGCATCTCGACCATGTTCATATCGGGTATCGTGGAGCGAGAGAGAAGAGATATATCCCTTACCAGGGTAAACATATCGGTTTTCTGGCTAGCCCCACAACAAGTACTAATGGGATTTTATCAAGTGTTCACCATTGTTGGCCTCACCGAGTTCTTCAACAAAAAAGTCCCTATCAACATGAGAAGCATAGGGAACTCGTTGCTCTACTTAGGTATGTCTTTAGGTAGTTATCTAAGCAGTGCGATGGTGAGCATTGTTCATAGTGTGACTGCTCGTGGAGGAAGACAAAGTTGGCTAACGGATGATATTGATGCTAGCAAGTTAGATTATTTCTATTACTTTATTGCCGGTTTAAGCACTCTTAATTTCATCTTCTTCTTGTGGTGTGCTCGAAGGTATCATTACAGAAATATGTGACAAATTTGATTATGAACATTTGTGGCACATTACACTTTAATAACTAATATTCAGTTTGACCTGTTTCAAAATTCTATGTTTATAGTTACATGTTGTAAAGGAAAACAATATTTGTAAATAAAATTACAGGTCCTCAAACATCGTTATAGAAATCTGTGACAACTTGTATTGTGACTCATGACATTTTAATTACTCATAGTTAATCTTTTTATTACGACACATGTTAATTTTTTTCAAAAG